AATATTTTTCTTCAGAAGTAAAAACAAATTCAGTGTCTACAATTTGTTATGGTTTAAAAGATATATACAAAACCACAGCATGAACAATATTAAGGAAATATTTATAATTCTCTGCCACACCATAGTATTTATCACTACTTAAAATAATTTAGAGCTGGCTGGGAGCAGTGGCTCATGCCTGTAATCCCTGCACTTTGGGAGGCTGAGGCAAGCAGATCACCTGAGGTCAGGAGATTGAGATCATCCTGGCCAACATGGCGAAACTCCATCTCTGCTAAAAATACAAAATTAGCCAGGCATGGTGGTGCATGCCTGTGATCCCAGATCCTCGAAAGGCTGAGGCAGGAGAATCACTTGAACCCAGGAGGTAGAGGGTGCAATGAGCCCAGATTGCGCCATTGTACTCCAACCAGGGAAACGAGCAAAGTTCCATCTCAAGGAAAAAAATAGAGTTTTATTTTGCCTAACTTAAAAATGAATATAAAGATACTTGTCTTTCTATATATTTTGTAAGTAAAATATTTATTTTTAAAGAGAAAAATGTCAAAGTTTTCTTTGTAAGTTAAAAGCCAAGTAAATATTTTATTAATATAGCACCCAGTAATGATGATGAAGGCACGTAAGGTATAACCAAGTTTTAATATTAGAATCTTCTTGTTCATTAAAGATTACGAGGAAAAAGATTAAAATATTCTCTAAATCACTTGAGGGGATGTATGTGTATATGAAAGTTTAGACTGGTGGAAAACTTATTCAAATTAATTGATAGCAGTAATATTTATATGTTCTCACTGAATTCAAAGTCCATTTCAATAATAAATACTGTATTTATTTGATACTAAGAAACTTCACATTTATCTTTGAATTAGGAATGTATCTGTAATTACTGGCATGTCATATTGGAAGCATTTTCTATTGCTGAATGGTGTTTCCTACAATCAATGGCACCTTATATCCCATGAAATACAGTATTTATTTAAAAAGTACTTTTTCAGGGCCATGTGTGAATACAGTATTTATTTGAAAAATACTTTTTCAGGGCCGTGTGTGGTGGCTCACAACTGTAATCCCACCACTTTGGGAGGCTGAGATGGGTGGATCACCTGAGGTCAGGAGTTCGAGACCAGCCTAACCAACATGGTGAAACTCTGTCTCTACTAAAAAATACAAAAATTAGCTGGGTGTGGTGATATCCGCCTGTAGTCCCAGCTAGTGGGTAGGCTGAGACAAGAGAATTGCTTGAACCTGGAGACAGAGGTTGCAGTGAGCCAAGATCACACCACTGCACTCCAGCCTGGCAACAAAGCGAGACTCTGTCTCAAAAAAAAAAGTACTTTTTGAAATTAAAAAGGTGACTTCTCCTTTTTAAACTTACAAATGCCTCCTAACCCTCAAACAACCCCAAATGTGTGGCTTCTTAAACTATAATCTTTTATGAGTGAAAAATGGCAAAAAATGAAAAAGCGACTAAACTCTCAAGACAAAAGGAACTGGTCTGTTAAGAATGCAATAGCTTAAATAATAAATGCATTTTTATCAAGTAATTATATGGAGTTACTTCCAGAGTTTTAAATAATTTCAAACATCTAGTATTTTCACCTTCCAATACTTTCAAATATCTGTCTACTCTATTGAAATAAAATTAGGATAAAGGAATATTCTACCCATAATATGACACAGATAGACTACTCTGCTATAAAATAAGTTTCTATCAGTGTATGCATTTATGCTAAGAATACAAGCTAATGTTTAATGAATTGTTTACAGATAAAAATTTAAAAATTAGTGGTTCTGTTCGCTAATACTGCAGAAAGGCGTATCATTCTAACATGTCACAAATTAAAACACTACATGATTTGGTGTCTAGTTATCACTGCTTGCAACACTTCAAACCAATGTATTCAAGTGGTTAGGTTATTCCTTGAACATTTCTAATTGCTAGCATTCTAGTGGCAGAATTGTGACCAAAGCATAAAAAATGTGATAGGTCCTATGCCAAATTTATCAAAGATAATTAATTTTTTTCTCCATCATTTAATAAATGGCAAATGCAATTATGAGTTTTGAAAATTCTGAATTAGGAGAATCTCCTTTCACTTAAATTCTATACAACAAAAAATAAGGACAAAGAACAAGCACACAGTAATTTCTTTCAGCTATTTTAAAAGAGTGTTGTCACACATTTCCAAGATTGGTTTCTAGACACAGTACTGATTACTGGGTAGGTAACTTTCACCGCTAGAATCTTCAAATGAGTGCAATGCTTGTACATTATTTTTTTCAAGTACACACATGAAGGCCCAACAGTGATAAAAAGCTTGGCATCAAAAATCACTAGAAAGTCTCATGCTTTTTATTACTACTTAATCCAAGTGAATGTCACTTAATTTTAATAAGGGTAAACACAACTAAACTAGTTTGAGAGAAATCTCAGCCAATATAATTTCCTTAAGGGCAAGGCCAGTATTTCCTGAACATTAAAATTTTATACCCATATAACAGTTTTTTTTTATTACCCTAAGGAAAAAAGAGCTGAAACCAACTCAAATTATTGATTGAATTGAATTATCTTGGAAATAAACACCATTTAAACATTTTTACTCTTTACTTTTCTAAACAAAACAATGTACTATCTCTGTTCAGAACTTGTAAGAAGTCTTTTATTTTTGGCCAGGAACCTTAAAGTTCTTACAGCTCTCTACGTCATCAGAGGTTGGCAAGACCAATCGAATTTTAAATGTCTGGTGTGCTCTATCATTTTTTGGAGCTATCTTTGCTTAGGAATTTTAGATAAACAGAGCAAATGATGAATTGCTGGGAAGGCATTGGAAACAAAAATGACTATTCATAGAACCAAATAAAAGCCTTCCATTAGAAACTCAAAACCACCAATGGTTTTATATATGTGTATGTAAGTAAAATCTAAAAGAGAACAAACTGCAAATAAATAAAAATTAAAGGCAAAAGCAAAAACAAACAAGAAGCCAACCCCCAATTTTTTTTCTACTCAGTTTACCTTGGAGGCTACAGTGTTACCTAGAGCCCTACAAAACACATGATGGGTATTTTGTTCATGGTATACATATTAATGTCTTTAAGTCGACTAGCACCACTACTCATTTGTGCAATTAAGAAATTAACTTCAGGCACGTGACCAGTTGAGTACTTTAGTGCCAGTACTATCTATGCAAAATAGCAAATATAGTGTGAAACAAAGCAATGCAAGCATTTATGTGAAATTTAGCTTCATGCTAAATCTGGCTTCATGCTTAACTGTATTAAAAATAGAACTGACAAACTGCCAATGTATTTCTTTATAAGATCTCTTATTTTACCTTCACCAAGACTAAGAGCTTTAACTATAAGCCACGTTAATTAGCCAAATTTCTCCAATTTTCTATCAGATTTTAAATAATACTTTATTATCTAAACTCTTTCAACTTTCTATTTTCTCTGTATGTGCATGAAGACATACAGAGAAACAGGAAAAAAAAAAAAACTACATGACTTACACAATAAATATACAGATATTATACACATACTGAGAAGACTGCATGATTTTTATATCAAAGTACATGCTTTTTCCACCACATAGTTCATCATTGTTATGATAGAAAGCTTTTGCAAAAAATAAGTACATGCTAATAATTATTCAAGGTTTTAAGAATTTATATGTTAAAAAAATACAATTCCTAGAACACTGTTATCAAACAAATAAGTTTTATTGGCATCTAAAAACAAAATTCACCCAACATTGAAACGTACTTTAATATTTATGTTGTTGTTTTCTTGTTTCTTTTTTACTCACTGCAGTATGAGGAACAAATCACAAACACTTACTTTGGAGAAACAGAGACTATAGTGTAGATTTTACAAAATCACTTTTTAAAATCTCTGTATTGTGCTCCTCAAATACCTAGAGCCAGTCTTTGCATAAAATATCACAGCTTTGTCTATAACCTTAAAATTCTGCAGCAGCCTAAAGATATGGATAAGATATACCACCACTTGCTATTTTGAAATATATCTATTACCATATCCAACCTAATGATAGTTATCTAAAAAATTCTTTCTTCCATAGGAAGTCTCTGACAAGCTGTTATTCATTTCCTTGACGTTAAAAGAATCTGGGGGCAACATTTATATTTTTATCAGAAAAATAAAAAAAAAGTTTACCTACCATGTTCATATTAAGAACAATGTCTATACAAGTCAGTTGTACAATTATTTTAAGAGAAAGGTGAACATGAACATCAGATTAACTTAATTCTGGCAGACAAAAGTGAACAACTATGGTCCAGTCAGCCATTATCTATTACAGAGAGATGACAACTTTACAAAAGGTATCTTTTACCTACTGAGTGATGATTATGTCCCCTCAGTTTCTGTGCTTTCTACCACTGGTTCACTTTCTATATCAGCAACTGTGTCACTCTTCTCCTTGCTTATTTCATTTGAAGATGTCAGTTTTTCATAAAGTTCAGGATCATTCTGTACTGGTAAAGGTGGTGGCTGAGCATGTCTCTCTGTATTTTCACCATTAACCTGAGGCACATTATCACCTTTTCGTTGAGAAGTGGCCCCTTCAAAATAATCGAAAACCCGAGCATGAGGAGGAGGGACCCAAGTGTTTTGAATTCTGTCTCGTCCAAGACGATTTCCATTCATTTCTCTGCAGAAATCAAAATCTCTGTCATCCCTATCCCTTTGCCTCTCCCAGGGTCTTCTGCGGTCATCAAAATCTCTGTGAACTTCTTGTCCAAATCCTCTGTTCCAAGGACCACTTCTAGGATCAAATCGATAGTTTCCAGACCGAAATCTACCTCTTTCTTCATGTAAACCTTTTGGACCACCATAGACCGGTAGAACCCGATGCTCTCTCTCATCAAAATCTCCTCTATGCCCCCAGGGCTTCTCTGGATTAAAGCCAAAGTGGTCTCTTCGACCAAGATGATCTATACCTGGCCTCACAAGATTCTCTCTTATATCTACAGGAGGTCTTCCAAAATGATCCCTACCATCTAGTGGAGGCCGTCCAGGACCTTCTCTTGGATCTATAGGCCGCCCAACCACATCTCTAACATCCACAGGGGGAGGTCTACTAATGCTTTCCCTGGTTTCTATAGGAGGAAACCGGTAATCTCTATCTCCTTCCTGTTGAATGTTATCATTCCCAAGTGGTATCCTTTTTTCTGGGTTAGTAGCATTGTCTATACTTTGTCTTCCAGGAGCTAGAAAAGGTCTTTCAGGCTGACTAAAAATATCTCCTGGAGGAAAAGGTCCACGGGGTGGTGGATGAAGAGCTGCATCAAGTACCGATGGGGGTGGGATTCCCCGTTGGGGTGGAAGTCCAGGCTGTATTAAGGGGAATCTTGGCCCAGGTGCCTGTGGTATTAGTCCTGGACGAATGTCTAACATTGGTATTGTGGGCATCCTTTGATTAGGGATACTTAAAGGGGGTAAGTTTTGAGGTCCGGCTGGTGGCTGTGTTCCCAGAAGTCCAGAAGTATTTGGAACATTTGGTGGCTGTACTCCTACAAGTCCAGAATTGTTAGGTATATTTGGGGGTAGCACTCCCAAAAGTCCAGAATTACTTGACACACTGGGTGGCTGTATTCCCAAAATTCCAGAGTTATTTAGAATACTTGGTGGTTGGGGTCCAATAATCCCAGAACTACTGGAAACATTAGATGGCCGGACCCCAAGAATTTCAGAATTACTTGATACATTTGGTCTTTGGACTCCCAGAATTCCAGAATTGCTTGTCACATTTGGCGGCTGTCCTCCTAAAATTGCAGCATTACTTGAAATATCATTTGGAATCACTAAAATAAAAAAGAGAAATAATTCAAAATAACAGTAAAAAATTTCCAATAATTTTAGCTTAATCAGCTACTTGTATCCCACAATAATCAAGGTACACTAGCTACATGAAATCTTTTAACTTAAACAAAAATGTCAGGTCATACTAATTTTCCACCTTTAATAAAAGCCTTTCTAAACCATAATTTTTTTTTTTTAAAAGAAAAGAACAGGAGTGGAAGTTTATTTAAAAGGCTTTAGAACAGGAAAGGAAAGGGGAAAGGAAAGGAAAAAGGAAACGAAAGGAAAGGAAAGGAACGGAAAGGACAGGACAGGACAGGACAGTACTCTTGGAAGAGACCCAAGTGGGCATCAAGGTCAAGTGCCTCTAAACCATAATTCTTAATGGACCAACAGTGGGGCCATAGAAAAAAGACTTACTGCTTTCAAACACCGTATTTATCTTCTAGATCTAGCTGGATAATAACTATTAGAAGTAAGTTCCTGGCAGAAGTTATTCTCACCCAATATTTGCTCATTTTTATCTTCCTGTAAGTATACAGATTTTGTGCAATATTATTTTGACACACTGAAGTAGTCCCAATAGGATAAAAAAAAAGGGGGTGGTGGCGTGAGGGTCTTTATGGAGAGGTATTGAAATCTAGATCATCCTGAACAGAATACCATTTTTTAAAATAGAAATTTTAGGACATAGTGATCTCTTTCCAAAAAAGTGCAACATTTCAACATTTGTAGATTGTAGTGGTTACAAATGCATGCCATCTCAGAATTAAACACCAAATACAGAGAGGCAACCTAGCTTAGACTTAACTTTTTTTATTTTACTATTATTATTTACCTGATCTGGTGTTTTCACCAGAAGAAATCTGGTGGTCTATAAGATGAGGTACTTTTTCTTCAGGCTCTGCTTGTTTAGTTGGAGCACTAAAAACATTTCCAGCTGGCAGAGCAGAAGCAGCAAGATTGCTGGCAACAGAACCGCCTGGTATAACAAGGCTACCAAATCCAACATCTTTCACAGTTTCCGGGGTTATGGATAATGATGGCTGTACTAAAGCTGTTTAAAGAGGAGAGAAATATATTTCAGATTTAATTAGTCAATTGATGTGCTAAGTTTTAAACGTATTTAATTTAATGGCATCTCTGTATTACTAAGCACATTATATAATAACAAATGCTCAAATGACAAATGAGGCATCATGAAACCTTTACCCAAAAACAGGGAAAACTAACAATTTTCAGAAATATTTCACCAAAAATGTCAAGACCAGAACTCAAAAAGTAAATTCCAGTAACAAAAAAATAAATAATTTTCCAGGAATGCCAGATAAGTGAATATCTAAACATACGTAAATGACTAGTGCAGACTGAAATGTATGAGTATGAAAATCTGCCCAATCCCCCTGCAATTACAATGTACTAGGGTCCAAACATTCATTTAACATTACCTTTTGTCAAATGAAGTTAGAAACTCAACAGATGAGTGTGGACTACAAATATGAAGCCATAAACTTTCCATCTTAAAAAATGGGTAGAAAAATCCCTAAGTGCATATAAGTCACACACAACCAGAGGAATACAAAATAATTACACAATTACGACTTTCAGTCCAATTTATGTCACTTAGAATACCGTAAAATCATACTTGCAGACCTTAGGAAATGTTTTATCTTCATAAGTAATTAGATTACTTGAACAAATGGTTAGCACATAAGAGAGTCACAAAAATAAAACCACCTGTGGTCATGTGTAAGAATTAAATGAGACAGCAAAAGCAACTTGGATAGCACCTGGCACACAACTATTTCTCTTTTTCTATTAATTGACTGCAGATTTTCCAAAATTAGTGAACTAAGAAAAAATTGGGAGGTGGGCTCTAGGGTAAGCCTCTGTGAATAGTGAATTCAGAAATGACTTCTGAACACCTGTCTAATTATCAGAAAGAATAAACAATTCTTCCTTATGAACCAATAATAACAAAAAGAAAGACTTTTAAACCTATCTTTTTTTTGAGATGGAGTCTTGCTTTATTGACCAGGCTGGAGTGCAGTGGTGTGATCTCAGCTCACTGCAACCTCTTCCTCCTGGGTTCAAGTGATTCTCCTACCTCAGCCTCCTGAGTAGCTGGGATTACAGGCACAGGCCACCATGACTGGCTAATTTTTGTATCTTTAGTAGAGATGGGGTTTCACCATGTTGGCCAGGCTCATCTCAAACTCCTGACCTCAAGTGATCTGCCCGCCTTGGCCTCCCCCAAAGTGCTGACATGACAGGTATGAGCCACCATACCCAGATAAATTTTAAAGCTATGTAAACACTGAAAGGGAAGAGTTTAAGAATACAAGGAAAATGAAGTCGTTACTCAAAAGTTAAAATCTCTATAATCATATACATTCTTCAAGTCTAATTTTTGAGGTAGGCTTGCCTGAATTACTCAAGGTTTTTTCAGAAGCCTGGAGATTTACTATAAAGAGTAGACTAGAATGAAAAAATTATTAAAAGGGTATATTTAGCATTTCTATAATGTCCAATGATAGGAAAAAGAAAATGAATAAATGTCTATATTTACAGTTGAATTGCATTACTTTTGAAATGTCTACTGTAGTAAAGAAAACAGATATCAAACCAAGTAGGCTAGAGTATATATTCCATAAAAATGTAAAAAGAAAAAAAAATCACATATGAAACTCGTACAACTACAAAGAAAAAATTTATTTAGGTAACCCTGAAAAACAGTAATTTGATTATATATTTTTTATTACACTTTTAGGTTCAGGGGTACATATGCAGGTTTGTTATATAGGTAAACTCATGTTTGTTATATAGGTTACTCGTGTAACAAACACATATTTATAGATACCTGCACATGTACCCCTAAGTTATGAGTATACACCTTTAGGATAAAAAAAGTGGTAGAGAAATCTTAGTTTCAGCGGGTAGCCTTGTTGGCAGTAACACTACTTTCAAACTATTATATGTATCTGTATGTCTGTATTGTATGATTACGATAGACAATCATGTTACTGTTTTCAGTATATGAGAACAGAGGCAAAATATAAAAATCAAAGTAGCTAATTTTTAAAATAATAGTGCATATTCATTTTTTTCTGTTCAAAATGCACATTTTCTAGTTTTGTCCACTAAAAATTCCTAGACTCAATGAAAACCCAAGGGAAAAATGAGAATCTAGAACCCAGATTAAATTCTCTAGATACTAAACCCCAACTGGAAAAATGGCTGATTCTCAGACTGGAGGGAGGAAAACACAAGATTAGTCTGGGATATACTGGGCCAGAAAGCTAAGCAGCTCTCAAAACTAATGTAATCATATCAAAAGGACAGGGAGGCAACACAGGTCTTCCCACTGTCCAAAGATGAAACAATTTGCATTAA